AAAAAAAAAAAAAAAAAAAAAAAAAAAAAGCCTCACCTTTTATCCTGCGCTACATCCTGTTTTTTACTCCCAGTGGAAGAAAATTTCTCTTCGCTGCAGATAATCCGCATAGAGTCAACTGATCGACTTCAGTCCTGAAAACCTGAAAGTCTTTTCATCGTTTCATATGAGCGCAGCATTAGGAACAAAAAAGCATGTCGGAGAAGCAATAGGGAGTCCCGAAGCTGCTGCAACCCGTTTGTTGATGAGTATTTCAAACTGATTGTTGCTGTGAACGACGGAAAAGTTTGGAATCATCTGCAAAACTTCTCCCACTTGCGTAAAAACGACGTGGTCTCACGTAGTCTCTCGGTGGGATTCTCGGTATGTTTATAGTACTGGCCCCTCTGATCCAATGGAGGCGTTCAGACAGGCGGAGAGAGAGCACACGTTGCGTTCAGCTGCTGAAGAAAAAGTCGGAATTATAATACTTACACAATAACGACGTGAAAATCAGTGTCAGAGTATTTGATAATATTATTCTGTATAAAAGTGGATAGATAGATAGATAGATAGATAGATAGATAGATAGATAGATAGATAGATAGATAGATAGATAGATAGATAGATAGATAGATAGATAGATAGATTCACAAAAATAAATTAGAAATAAAAATAAAACTCCATTTAAAAATAACAAAAAAATATTATTAAGTAATCTCTTGTACCTTTTACGTTTTCCTCTTTTAAATCACCATAGACTGTGTCGCTGTTTGAAAAGGTACTCAAAAAATTGCTTTAAAAATGATTAAGTAATTTCTTGTGCCTTTTCCTCTTTTAAATCACCATAGAATGGTATCGCTGTTTGAAAAATCCCCCAAGTGGAAGCTCAGGTCTCGTGTCCTCGTCGCTGACCGTGAACGCATCCGTGAGTCCAGACGCCACTGGAGCCCCGTCCTCTCTGCCGTGACATCAGACACGAGGAATCCGAGGAATGCCGGGCTCCTGGGAGAAGTCCTGCTCGTTTAATGGTTTTCCAGGGGCCACGGAGGAGACTAAACGCGGAACAAAGGAGACCCCTCACATGTCCATGTCCCTTCTGTCTGTCTTTAGGCGGGCAAATGAGTCACACCGTCAATGGGGCGACTTATCTGCATATAGCCTACATTTTTAGCATGTAGGCCTACTTTTATGCAAATGTGCAACAAAAAGGTGAAGTTATTTAAAATATCTTTATATTAAACTAAAAAAAAAAAAGAATACTTTTTACAGTAACAAGCAGAGCATTATATTATAGTTTCCTTACCATTCTAGAGCACTGTAATATAATTTATTTATATTTCTAAAAGCCCCTCAAAAAATCTACATGTAAGTCAATGGGTTCACGAGGACACTAGTGATGATGACAATTAAGGGGTTAAGTTTATTCAACTGAGAAGTAGTCAATGAATTGTCAAATAATTGGAAATTTACTCGTTTTGTATGTCACGGTTATTGACAAATCTGTGAGCACGAGAATATTTCATTGAGGTACAGAAGTGAGAAAAAAACAGGCATTTGCTATCAAGAAGAGAGTGAAAAATGTGTTAATTAAAGTGAGAAATTTCTATTCAGAAGCAAAGTGAGGCTCATTTGTCAGAGATAGCTGACAAATGAGCTATCTCTCACACATCTTTATTTTTTTTCTGCATCCTCATTCATTTTTTATTTTTTATTTTAATAATGATTCCCTTGCAGAATATCCTGTAAAATGAACAGCTTCTCTCTGAGGAGACAGAAG